CCCCAAAACCCCAAAATCCCAAAACCCCAAAACCCCAAAACCCCAAAACCCCAAAACCCCGGGATGGGCAAAGATAGTAGAAATGGGTTAGAATTTAGACTAATTGGTGTAGTTAAGATGGGGTTACATATTGGCTCTTGAAGAGATAGTGCAATTGAATGTGCAAGTGACCTTAGTGCCCTTGCCTTCCTCAGATTCGAGTTTTATATCTCCACCGAGTTTATGGAGAATTTTCTTTCATATTGTGAGGCCTAGGCCTCATCCAGTCTTGTTCCTATCATGATTTGAACTTGTTTTGCCAAAGAGCTTAAATAAAGAAGATTGATCTCTCTTGGGTATGCCAATTCCGGAGTCTATTACTGTTAAAGTGAGTTCATAAGCTTGTAGTTGAGATGATTGAGCCGAATTTGGTTCAAGACAAGAATTGGTAGTGTCTCAAAAGATCTCGTCATCATCTCGATAATCATTATTATCAGGATGTCTCATGTAACTAACAACTCTTGGAATTTGAGGTTTTTCAGCAGCATAACTATCAAGCATATCACTTAATTCTAATGTACTATTAAGCTGCTTCAACATTAAGTTATTGTTACTTATGTTTCTGCTTCTTTGTTTTCATTCTTCATGTCTATTACGCTCTAAGTAGACTCTGATGGAGCCTCTGTCAGTAAATTTTAGAGAATTGGAGACTAAATTCATCAGGACTTGTTTAAGTCTCTGCTTGTCGGTCTTAATGTACATGTCTGCTATTTCATTCTCAGCATGGAACCTCAGGGCAATCTTTTTCTGATTAGCTTGGAGTTCAAAGATGTCTTCAATTTCATCCAAAAGTTTGGAAACTTTGAAAATCTCTTCTTTGATTTCAAAGACTCCTGATTCTATTTTGGCATGGTCTAGGATGTCTTCGACCAGAAAACGAAGTATATCACAGCTTGAAGAGGCTATCTTGAGAAATTTTTGCTGAGGACCTCTTATTATTTTGGATCTTAGAAGGAAAAGGCTGATTGACATTGCGTTGAGGGGTGTCCGGAATTCATGAGAGACATTAGCAAGCATCTGTTTTTGATACTTATTTTGAGCTCTCTGTTCTTCTAGTTCAGTAATCTGTGTAGTATCGCTGAAGATGTGCAAGAACATTGACGTTTTTGGGTTTTCAGGAGAAGTTCTGCTAACTCTACGAGTTTTTATAACAAATTCTCTCTTCATTATCTCAACTCCATTGATAAAGTTAAAATCATCAAGGTACAATGATATTTTTGTCTCTCTTTCATCATCATCTTGATTTCTCAGTAGCTCTCTTTCCTTATGTAAAAACTCAAGGAGAGTGATATCATCTGGATTTCCAATCTTCTGCTTCTTTACAAGAAACGATGAAGAAGGAGATAGGTCTATAAAACAGTTAGCACAAAATTGCTTCGATTCGTACTGTATCTTTTTGGGTAAAAGAAAAACTAGGAATCATGTAATAAAATAGGTGATGCACAATTTGCATAAATTTACTGGTTTGGCAATCCTAACTCAGGGTATAAATATGACAACACTATTTTGCTAATTCTGCGTAGTCTAAGTTACCTTTAAAACAAGGAATCATATCATGACTAGAGACCCTGTTAGTATTGATATCAAATTTATTGATGATCTTGAACTTCTTCATGAGTATCCGAAATGGCTGATTTCCTAGTGAACTTTCTCAAGATCCTTCTTTCACATTCCTTAGAGCATTATCAAACTCCTTATCTATCTGAGCTTTGAGATCTAAGAACTGGTCGAGCTGATTGCCAGACTCTCAGTAAGAATTTATATCAAACTTCTCTCTTAACCTTGAGTTATAAAACTTAATATCAGAATTCTCATGGTCAACAATAGAGACTCCTTCTGGAAGACATTTCAGGAATTGTTTGAATTCTTTAGATGATTCTTCAGCTTCGAAATTTGCTGATAGCTCCCTGAATAGTATCCTAGAGGTCAGGTATGCTCCAAGTGCATAGAAGCAGCATACTTCTCAACATGCTAAAATTAGCTCATGAGGTACGTTATCATAAGCCAGCATCATCCTTGAGAGATAATAAGTGTATGAAAGGACTAGGAATAATGTAGCAAGGACCCAATTTGCTGAAGTTCAAATTGCCATCAAGAAGCTCAATGCTACTTGGGTCAGAAAAGCTTCATAAAGTCTAGAGATTAAGGTTAAAAATGTTTATAATCATAATTAAAATTGCATAAAATAATAGAAGATGAGGCTAAGGCTTAACCAAGGATCATCTTTATGGCGTTCGATATAGTCCAAATTATAATAAATGGATGTCTCTTACTAACTAAGCATGAGTAAATAATTCCCGAATAAGGCACTGTGAAAGCTTTGACATCGTACAGCTTTTAAAATGGCACGAAGGTTGTCTCTAATTCATTACTTTAACTTTGATAAAGTCTAGACTGATTAGGAATATGGGCATAGTTAGAAGTTAATATAAACCTAATTAAATTATCTAAGAACTATCCAAGAAATTTTAACTTATTTTTTTATAAATTCTTTGAGGATTAGAAGCAGCAAAGTTCTTAATAAATTAATGCACAATGGCTAGTGCAAAAGTATTAAATAATGGGGAAAGAAAAATATTCAAAAAACTTAGAAAAATTTATTATTTTGGTAAACCGAATTTTTATAAAGCCCTGAATTATTTTTGAACAAAATGAAGCTGTCATTCATCATAAACAGTATTTAGCCATCAGAGTATTAAATAACTAATTAATAGCAAGCAGAAATCAAATTTTAGAATCCAGAACCTTAGAAATTAAACTTTTGATTTCTAGCTAAAAAATCAAGGACTATCAAAAGTAGAATATTTTAACTTAAATCACTCATCTTTCTATTTCATATAAGGTCAGGATACTCTTTTTCCAAAATCACTTAATTTACCTAAGCTGGTAATTTCTGAATAAAATTTATCTAATTGTCAGTCATAAATTTACACAATAACTTCAAATAATGGACGATTCATGTGAGGGTATTCTTACCTGTATTGGTCAAAGGCTAGACTGACTTCAGTAAACCCGACCACAATTAATATTGAAAATAAATTTCCTGAGTGCTTAGCAGCCCAATCATATTTCTCAATTATTCTTTGGAAGACAGAAAGGATGATTATGAATAGTATTAATATAGATGTCCTCAAAGCCAGGATTGAGGAATTAGGACTACTCACTCCAAGAATGATAGAGACAATAAATATAAAGGCTTTTAGAAAGACTGCAAGGGCTCTCCAGTTTTCCCTAATATGCATAAGTTGTTTCTCTTTATAAATAACCTGAAATTTAGGATCCTTCTGGCCAACAATTGGTCTTTTTAGTTCAAAAAAGTCGAAGATTATTGAAATTATCTGATTCACGATCTCTCTTTTGTCACTATAATAAAGTGTGTTAAATTTTGATCTAAAGAATGGCCAAATTATGCTTTAGCATGCCTATCTTACCGCTGAAACATTGTTTTCATTTTGCAAATATTATATTATTCTTTATATGGTGAGCCTTATGGGGTTTTGGGGTTTTGGGGTTTTGGGG